GCTTATCAGAATCACCTGGGAAACTCTTTCAACCCCAGAGGCACCCACAAGTCATCAGTTGGTCCTACCTATTCAGACCCATAGTAAATGTATGTAAATAGGACTACACGTTTTGTGCTATTCAGTAGCCAATTTAGGCCCAACACATTTATCACTAACTGATTAGCTGAGATTCCCAACTTAGGTGTTTCTGGCCCTAGGAATTTCACCATCTCAGCCCTCCTCCATACTAAAAGTTTTAGAGACAATGTGCCATTTCCAGCATATAATACAAACAGTTAAAAACCAGTTTAAGAAACAGGGCCTCCTGTCATGCCATCTTGCTAGACTCAACAAATGTCTGAGTGTGGACCTGTGTCAGTCTGAATCAGACTATGTGAAACTGGACGTGCCAAAATGACACTACCTCACTCACCATCATTGCTCCCATGGAAATCCTGGCTAACTGTTAACTCCCCAAAAGCAGCTTAGCTAGCAAAAAGTTGTGGCCTCTTACTACTCTGGATAATAAGCTGCTCACCAATTCAGAACATTACCACCAACATCAACTGGTTTACAAGTCTCGCTGAATGGCAGCTTCCTTCTCTGTGCTGGCAGCAGCAGTTTTAAAGTTACTGCCTGTTGGATTTTGAAGCAACTGCTCATTTGTTCATAAAAGTCACAGATAAATATCAGCAATACATGAATTCACAGAAGACTGCCCACAAATTTTCAACAAAAGATAAGAAAGTAGAATCCCTCCCTTGGCAGGTATGGGTTCTTCCTAACTTGTAAAAATGGACTGCCATGGCCACTGGAAAAGATTCTGAATTTGAAAACCTTTTTCTGGTGTTAATTTTGGGAAGCAAACGAGTAAGAGTGAAATTACAATGAAAAAAAAGAATGGGTTTCCAAATTACTTTTTCCTGTTATAACCCGTCCCCCAAGACAAAGAGACACTGGCAGCCGTGGGAATAGGTCCTTGGTTCTGGGAGCATACCCACCTCTCCTTCCCTCCAGGTGAGGAGGTGTCACTCCCAAGCCACTCCAGGGACACCACATGGTGGCTCCCTCCACTCCTGCAGTTGTCCCCAACCCCTCACAACTAGCCATCTCCAAACCTCCTGCTTATTCCATCAGCCTTTTCCTTGGCTGCTGCCTCAAATATGGAATTCCTTCCACATATCCCAGCTGGATTCTGCACTTGGTCATCATCTTTCTGTCAAGGATTCTTCTCTTCTACAACTTTAATATTTTCCTTGCCACTAGAGGGACCAAAGTGCTCTACCCAGTGGCTTTATCAATCATATCTCCTGAGTAGCCACAGAAGGCATTTGAGTATGTGAATCTCGAATTCACATCTGCTCATTTACACATTTGAAGTTAACACAATTCCTTTGTCATTCAAAAGTATCTTATTAGAAGACATTGTGTGTACTAGGTACTGGTAGAGAAAAAGGGTAGAAATATGATTTTAAGACCCTCCCTATTCCCGCCCCCTGCTATACATTGATGTTCTAAGAAAGACAGAGGAAAATAAAGAAAATCATCTCCATAAAATGTGCTGTAACAACTGTGTGAATTGTTTCTGGAAGAGGGGACCAAAAAAGTCCCCTTTCTGCCTAAGGATGTCCTCGAAGAGGCTACATACACCTTTAAGTGGGCCTTGATCTGAACTGCAGTTTTCACACTCCCCTCTTTCCGACCTCACTCCCAATCCACTCTGCCCTTAATCCCGAAGGACCACTAAATTGCATCACTCTGGTGCTAAAAAACCTGTAACAAGTCTCCCCTAGCACATCAAGGCCGGAGGTGTCTGATGGGCACTGAGGCTCTCTGTGCTAGTCCCAGCCTGCCTTTGCACAGAGATCTTGCACATATGGGTACATCAGCTCCAGCCAATGGAGACTCCATATAGTACATTCTAGACAGCCTGGAATTTTCTGCTTCTGCACTTGCTCATATCACCCCAGGTGCCAACCAGGGGCCACCAAATACGGCTATTCAGTGCACAAATCGTGACGCTCTAAGTGGCAGCACTGTCTATCCCCATCATACTTCCCATTTTAGGGGATTATAGGTGATTTTTTAAAAAGTACTTTCTGCATTTTCCACAATGAACAGGTATTATATGTCTAAAAACTGAGAAGGGAAATTGCATGTGGGAAAAAGAATCCATTTTACTCTTCAGAATAGCCTGCTGTAAGGCTGTTCTCTAAGAAGCCTTCTGTGAGTTACAACAAGAAGCGATCTGTGCTCTTCCTATTCTTAACACCGTGGACTGTTTTACGACTTCAGACACACACCTTCCTGTATATACATACAGCTGTACCTTTATTTCTCTCTGACCTATTATGTGTCAGGCATTGTATGAAGAGTTTTTTTACTCTTGCTGTTCCATTTAATCCTCACAGGGAACCTATGAGGTTGCTATTACCATTCCCACATTATAACAAAGGAAGCCAAGGTTGGAAGACTTGTTCAAAGCAAAGAACTAGCCTATAGTTCTTGCAAGTTTAAAAACAGTCTGCTGGATTTAAATTTAAATCCAGGCTTCAAAATCCTAACTCCAAAATACTTGCCAACTGACCAATTGCTTCTCCAATACTAGCCTCTGAAAGCCTTAAGCAGGAAGACAATATCTTACTCATCTTTGTACTCACTCTCTGTGCCCACCCCGGGGCCTCATCCACAAGCAGAAACTCAAAGAACCTTCTTACGATTACATAAAATATCTATTCCTTAGGGGAAAATGGTGGGATGTTGATTATGATGGTATGACTCTTAAACAACTGCTGTCCCGACAGCAAGCTCTGAAGGTTTTAGCTTCAAAACGTACCTCAAAGCTCTGCTGTCTCCCCAGCTCTACTGCCCACCTAAGCCTTAGTCTATTATCATCTCCTGCTTTTGACTATTCTCCCTGCTTCCCCTCTTCTCCCACAGGTATAAGTGCGGTGGGCCTGTTACTCCCACACAAACCAGCCAATAGCCCACAAGCTGCTTCTTACTCTGGCATAGAAGTTGTGCCTGATCAGGTCCCTGCCTGTAAAGCCAGACTTTTCTAGTCTCTGCTTCCTTCCACTAACACCCTGCAGCCACACTGCCTTCTTCAGGTTGTGCAACGGCTCTTCTCTCTGTATTGAATGCTCTTATTCCAGGTGGTCATGGTGGCTCCCTCATCACTTAGGGCTCAGGTCACCAGGGGTCACCTTCTCTGAGGCTTTGCTTAAACACTATCAAAGAAGGACCCCCACTGTGGTATTCTCCGTCCAGTGCTTGCATTTGTGGGAGTGAGGAAAATGAGGAAGAACCTGCAGTTATTTTAAAATGTTTCTCGTTAGTTTTGTCTATTTCTCCAGCAAGAGTTAAACTCCACAGAGTTAAGAAGCATACTACAAGGTGGGTATTCAAATACTTCTGAGTTTTTAGTGAACCAAACTGAGTATGAAACTAAGCTTTATGATCAGAATTTTATTTTAAACATGCTAGGTGGCATTCTGGCAATGCAAAAGAACGTTATTTGGATCCTTTTGTGACTAAACATCCAGGTAACAGGCTTGGAGACTGAAGCCCAGGGATGGCTCAGGGTGGTGCATGAAACCTGATGTCACAATGCGGCGTTCTAAGTATATATGTAACTTTGATAGGGAAAATGTCATCGCTTCAACTCATTCACAAATTAGAACATGACAGTAAGTTCAACTAGAACTACTGAACTTGGAAGTTTTAAATTCACATTTCCTTAAAAAAAAAAAAGGCCATGTCTTCATATTGGGAATATATTTATAATTTTACCAACCACTAAACCCCCAACTTCAGGATCTAGAAGGAAACAAACCTTTCACTATACTGATGCAATATTTCAAAAGAGATTTTATAAGATACATTTCCTTTTTGTATAATTTCAATAAAATACAGAAAATGCACACCACTTTCAAGAAAATACTCAACATCTGACAGGCATTAACCCATTCAATGAATCAGAAAGCCTAGCTCCTGACAGGGGGAGGGATTATATTCCACCTGGGCTGTCGCTGGCCTTCGGTTTTTAACCCTGCTTTACCTTTTACCTCCTAATAATGATTTTTACCGTATTTGCCGGCGTATAAGACGACTGGGCGTATAAGACGACCCCCTAACATTTCCACTCAAAATACAGAGTTTGTTATATACTCGCCGTATAAGACTACCCCCTCTTCCGCACACCTTCCACACACCAAATAAAAGGTAAAACAATATCAGATTTGATTTTAACATTTTAATTTATATTCAAATGCTTATGACATGCAGGAAAACTGTGACAAGGCTGTATGTAATCAAACATATACATAAAACAGTGCAAGTTTATTACCGGTAAACATACCGGTAATTCACTAAAGAAAACACACTCTATAGACTGGTACCATAGATGCTTCTCAGGAACACAGGCAAGCAGCCCACAACCTAGAGGGACTGTCAATGATAGAAGTAAGAT